CAGAGAGAAATGGCCACAACTGTTCGAGTTAGAGCCCCATTAGTAACAGCTATTCTGCTTAGAAATCGAACTTTATCGCCTAGAGCAGCGCTATGCTCGTCGCAAACATCGCAGCACATTCTCAGGTGTCCAGTACGTCGACGGTGAATATGTATACACCAACGGATCGAACTCGCCAGGGTCAGTCTCCAAACACTCCACAGGCAGTTACTGGAAATCCCCTACGTGGGGCGTATCATCCAGCGATTCGCGTTGTCGGTGACGAAACCATTTAAACTCGACTCTTTTCTGCGCTTGCTTTTTGACTATATATCCTCGGCATTACGTCTCGTGTGGAGGATGTGACGACACTTCCGACCGTTATATGTCCCGCTATTCCATTCATGGTTGAGAAATGAACGAAAGACAAAAGTTCATGCTTTCTTTATCTGAAGGGCGAACTAGACCGGCCTGCTTCGATCTGAGACACAGGCAGCAACCCTTGTTCCCCTTCGGCACGACCCGATTAGCCTTGCATGCTTATTCACGCAGAAACCTGTGCAGTACCCCGCAGGACAAGCATGCGCGTTCATTTCTCAGTCTGACTGACGTCATTTGTACTTTGGCATTTTATTTTTTGGTATCACTGGAGTCTCTTTGGGTTCCTAGTTAACGCTGTGTTGCCTTGCACGATCTGGTTCGATTTTTTGGCTTGTCTCCAACTTACCTAGCAATCAGTTCCGCTTTTGGTAAAGCAAAAGGAACAGGGCTTTGGTAATTCTTTTTTCCCTTTACTTTTTTTTTTTTTGACACTTCAATCGTCTATACTTTGTCTCGACTTGAGCGGCTTGATTCTTAGCTTGTCTGAGCTTCCCTTCTCTTCAAATATTTGATCATTCAACTGTACATACATTCTATACGCGCTTCCTTGGAATTTTGAGAAAAGACGGAATGACCACTAAATCATAGATCTAAAAGATAGAGATGAAACGACGCTAGATTTCGGCAACAGAGGTGCGTAGTAAGTCAGACAAGTGGCCACAAATCCTTCTCGAGGAACGCCGTAAAATAAGCACTATACACGGGGACAGATGAGAAAACCTCCGTGTAACTACATCAGAAATAAGCGCATATTGTCACAAACAGCGTCAACTTATCAACAAAGCGAACAACCCCAATTACCGTTTCGACTTCCTACTCCCTATACCTAGTCGGCCCAGATTTGGCAGACCGCTTTTATGTCTATTCGCGGCACCCAGGATAGAACCCCCCTTCTGGTTTCCCATATCAGCAGGACTACGCCGTCCCTCAGCACCGGCTCCAAAGCCTAGGCCTGTCCGCGGTGTATCTGGGAGATTTGCCCGTTCCTTGTTCCGCGTTTGGTCTGCGGCAGAGAGGGCGGCAGTTAACGAATGACCCTGGAAACCGGCGACGCCGTCGTCGAAGGGACGTTCCCTTGCGCGTAGGGCTCGGCGGGCTCTTTCCTGGACGGTTTTGAATTTATCGAGTAGTTCGACCCAGCGGATGGAGTTCTCTTCGCGTTTAAGGCGGCTGCCTGTCGAGCGATCGTAGGCGCTTGAGCCGGAGGCTGAGACCATCGTGGAACTGTGAGAGCTTTTTTCAGTATGAGAGTACTTAAGGCTATCTTTCATTCCTGTGGTGGGTTTCAAGTGTGCTTACAGTCGTGGTGTGTGGAGAAGGCCAATGTTGCTAACGCTGTTTAAACGGTTCTTTAGAGCCGCGAAGGCAGAGCTCTGCGGAAGGAGCATGAGGACACCGTAGAGGCATTTGTAGAGATATGGATAATTTTCTGGTTCAAGCAGTTGAAGTCGGAGATCTACCAACACATGAGCGCTCATCAATAAAGGGTACAAAAAATAACTTGGACCAAAAAGAAACAACTTACAAGTGAAGACAGGTGACTCCAAAAGCTGGACCAGCTTATCGATTTGGATCAAATTATTGACAGTCATTTCGAGCTCGGCACTGGGAGCTTTTGTTAGGACACTTTAGCAAGTATAGATTTTCCCATACTGACAAGACTTGGAGAAGGTTGTAGGCTTGCTCATATGCTTGTGCAAGCAGACACAGTGAAAATGTGGAGACAGAATTGTGACACCAAGACCTGAATAAAGCCACAAAGAACATCTGGCCCTCCTATGCAGATTGTTAGTTACAACATCTAAACGTAGGCTGAAGCGGGTCTATTACTCTAGTATCCAAGTTCCGTAGCCGTTTTCGCAGTCCGGAGAGCTCGGGCGCAGTAATCAGATTATTGTTTAGATTCTGTACCATAATACTGGCGAATTCGAGGTCCTAAAATCGCAAAGGGGATTTAGCATGTCCATCGGTTCGTTATGCAAGGCAAACTGACCTCTTCCTTTTCAAGACAGTCGGCTAGAGTTCTATAGATGCGCTCCGGGCTTAAATTCATACAAAGCTGGCGGATAATGAGATTTCCGCGGACCTCTAGTAAATGCCTATCGGTGGAGAACAATTGAAGGAGGTTCACCATGAACGACTTGAAATAGCTATCCTCGCTATTCCGCGATATCTGGGATAAGAGCTGGAGATCCTTCGTCACCACTGCCTCCGCTGGATCGGACAGTGTCTTAAGCAGAGCAGGAAACGTTCCATCGTTGAAGGCCACCACCTTTTTAGGAGCCTTACGGTGCAACATTATCAACCAAGAGAGAGCAGCTACTCTGGTGGCTTCATTCTCGTTCAAAAACTGCAGTGTAAGCGAGTTGACAGCCGCAGCATAATCAAGATCAGCAGGCGGCACGGGTGTGGACATGACACTGCTCCGAGAAGTCGGTTCTTGCGTAGACTCCTGCACCGATTGTTTCCTAGAGGCGGTGGTGGATGCATCAGAGGGTCTGGGGTTTGGTGCAGATTCTCTCCTTTCAGTCTCTTTGTTGGGCGTGGAAGTTAGTCTCGAAGATGATGACTGTCGTGTCTCATCCGATAATGTGTCTTCGGATAGAGACACGATATACTCTAACAATGACGTGTTGACTCGATTTGCGGCCTGCCGCACTTGGTCTGAGCCACTGGACATAGCTGGAAGTACTTGGGTCAAAAGACGTGGAACGAATGGGAGTATGTCTTCGGGGCTTATTTCGAAGAAACTATCGATCCATCGCAGCGCTGTCAACTGCATCTCTTCCTCTACTGACGGTAAGCCTGGGACCGTTAAGTGAAATCATGCTCGGAATTTCTCACCATAAGATGTGTCAACGAAGCCCACCAAAATGTCTAGTATCTTGGGGTAATCTATTTGGACATCTTGTCCTGGAATCCAATCTCCGTCGGCATGCAAGCCGTCTTCATCAATTGTAGAGTCCACCTCAGAATCTTCTATTGCAACATCATTGGTTTCAGCTTCGGTTTCGGTCTCGGTTTCGGCGGCAACCGTCTGGTCGGTAGTTGTGCTAATACTGTCACTCGTAGTTGATTGCCTATTCTCGCTTCCTTGACCTTTCCGACTCTCTTCAATGCCTTTCTTAAGACGAGCAATTCTCTTGATCTCTGACAGAAACCTATCGAGCAGATTTTGGGTGGCAACGTTCACATCTCTATTAGGGTCACCAAGGAATTTGACCAGACCCCCCAGGAAGTCTGGTAAGTGTGAGACAAGCTCAAGGTCAGGTATCGTGTCCAACAAAGTCAACCATGATACCAGGAACATCCGAGTGAAAGGGCTGATGACGTGTATTCGTTCTTTGAGTAATGGTATAAACTTTGGAAGAGAAAATGCCGTTGGAAGGTCAGGATCTTCCAAAGCTTCCGGGTCTGTCTCTTGCTTCTCAGAAAGCTGCAAGACCGAAACATAGGATGCGGCGGATTCAGATACGATGTCTTTAACAAGTCTATCAAGGAGCTCGGCGCCATTTTTGACTGAAAGCTCCGAATCGGACGCCAACTAGGAACTTATGTCAGTTGGGGAACAGGCAATAAGGCCGAGGTGAGGACAGCGGGGAAATAAAGCTAATACTCAGCCCGCTTACTTTACTCAGCGCATCGAAGATCTCGTTAAAGAACAACAGAATCTCCCCCTTAGCAACTTTGGCAATGTTATACATGCTCTCACAAGCGTAGTACCTGACTCGTGCATCTTGGTCGGTGAAGCAAGCTAGCACTGGCGGTACAATCTCTTTGAGGTACGGCGCGACACCTTCCTGGTATCCTATTCTCAGTAATGACAGTGTAGATGCTGCACCCCGGCGTGCTCACCGATCCAAGCGCGATGGAGGCCGCGGCCAACCCGATCAAGCCACCATTTCTCGCATGAGGTTGATGTACTGCGTAGGCGTAGCCATGACATAGCTGATCGACAATTCTTTGAATATCTTCATGTGCTCCTTTGAAAACGGCATCTCGAACAACTTTTTCAAGCCTGTATCATGGCCTCCGTCAGCACGTATTGCTTTGCATAGGCGCTTTGACAGCTTCATTGTTCTTACTCCAAGGCTCCCTGTTTCCTCCGATCATAGAGCTTATCATTCAGCAAACGCTGAATGGAGGATTCCATCGCTCAGAAAAGCATCCAGCGCAGAAAGTTACGTCACACGGGGGTGTAGATTACTCGACGATGATGATGCTCATGATGGAAAAGCGACGTCTAGCCGGGCGGTGGGTCAAGAGCTCTTAACTAGTTGTAGCTATTCGGGGCCATGGGTCTCGGACGAGTTAAACTTGTTGAAAGTTTCACAGAATGAATAGGAACTATTTTTCAAACAATAAACGGGGGAAACAAAGACAAGCGTGTTAATGTGTACGAAGATAACCAGTCCCCTGTGAGCTGCTGCTGCAGTCAAGATATCAATGTGGGGATTTAGTGGCAGTTAAAAAAAAAACAGATGTGTTGGCAGCCATGAATGATGCCTTAACCTTAGCCTGAAGTGGGAACTGCCTTGTGACGTAAGGCCAGTGAGTGGTTATTCTCTGAATTTTATTTACGGGTCCCGGGGCTGTAAATCAGTAGTCCTTCATTGTATCCGTACCTCTTGCAATTGAATCTTACCGCTATCCTCTATCGTCACAGGCGCCAAGGCCAACAACCACCAAACGCTTTCCCCGATCAGGAACCAAAGAATTTACGATACAGTCTTTGGTACCGCTGCGGAGAACTTGAACCTGCGGGCGATTGACATACAATCTCAGTCCTCCCCCCTCCTCCTACACCTCTTCCGGTCCGTTTCCTCAGGCATGACAATGAGTCAACCTTTGAGGCGAGGTGTACGGGCTGTGTCCTGGACCCGAGTCCTCCCTCCGCGGGCGCGACAAGGGCAGGCAAGATGCCTTCAGATTCGCGCCGCGGCCGCGGAACAACCATCTTCGGCCAACGGAAACAACCTGCCTGTGGTCGGCACTCCTAGTTCAGCTGAGTCTGCCGGTATGTCATTTCTACTTTACAATTCCAGGGACGGTACAAGAGGTGCTTGTCCGGCGATTTGAACCAAGGACTACTGCTGATGGTTTAACACATGCAGATGCGCGATTCGACGTTATCGGCGCTCCATACTCCTTATTGTCCGTCTCTCTATCCGCTTCGCAGAATCTCTTCACCCGACGAGGAACATTGGTAGGACTGAGCGGGAAAGCCGATAATGTATGAGATAGTTCCATGTTTTGCGATTCGATATTCTACGATAGGTCTATTGACGGTTACTGGTGCCTTATCAGGTGGTTTCTACGTTGAGCGTTCTCGAGCCGTTCCGGAGAGCGGTTGTCGGTGTACCATTTCTCTACCAGAAGGTTCGTTTGGTCCTTTCGGCATCAGCAACGGTAATATGAAACTGACCCCTGGGTAGGTCTCGTCGGCTAGCCCGGTAACTGCCTTGGTTTCTGTTCGATCGCCTACCACGTCCTTCGCTGTTGTACACCTGGATGGGTCTGTGGATTGGATGGTGGCACAGAGACGTGCGTTGCTTGCCTGGACGGGCCGTTCTCTTTCTATCAAACCGACTATCAATACAAGCCTGGTTTGTTAATCCGATGGGGATGCCGTCAATTTAAAAAATCAAGCTGACTTGCGCAGAGCGTGTCACACTGGGGTAGCTCCGAAGTGACTGGCAGAGGATTGCTAGCATTAGTCGGTACGGGTCAGTTATACCAGGTCGAGGTAAAGGCCGGAGAGCAATACATCGTCCACCCAAGGTATGGTTGCATATACTCATTAATATCACTACTTTGAAACATGCTAACACAGTCAAGCAATGTTGTGGCGTACACAATGACAAACAACCCCCCTCGTCCTTACCGCTTCAAATCCACAACCTTGAAATTTCAGGTACCGGGTCTCAAGGGCTTGCCGAGCTTTATCCAGGATTCGAAATTCATTCGGGATATGTCGGGTTCCGATACCTGGAAAACCGCGATGAATATCTTCCATAAAATTCGTACTTGGTCTCGGATGACCATCTGGGGAGACAGGGTATGGCTTCCATACTGATTTGAATGGTACAGCGGTGCTAATGTTGCGTGCTACCAGCTCTTTCTGCAATTCGATGGCCCCGCGACTATTCTCTTACAAACGCGTGGTCCCCGTATCAATGAAGTCCTCACCTCGCACGAAGTCAATGAGATTGCAAGCGCTCCGAGAGGACTAACCATTGGACCTGCAAAGCCCGCAGAGGAAAAGAAGCCGTCTGCCGACGAAGAGTATCGGAAGGCGGCCGAGGAGGCTGTCAATGCTGCCCCAGCACCCACAAGGACCGTTGAACAATTAGAACAGGAGGTCAGAGGGTCAGCTCAAAGCATTGCCACTCTTACGAAGGAAGGCAAGGTGATCTTTGAGAAACCTGGCCAACAAAACTAAGTGTAACGTTTGACATCGACTGTCCCAGTTGGGGCATGATAAGGCGCTCATTCTAAAATGTCTTATTGCAGGCTGAATGTATTATAGATAGCATACTCCGCGTTTCAACATGAGCTTTTTTTTTTTTTTTTCCCCTCCCTACTGGACATGAAAACCATCTCGTGCTATGTTGTCCGCATAATCAACCATTTAGCCTTACCAGTCTTCTGGGATAAAACCATGGACTTGTTTCTGCAATGGCCAGCAGAGTGTCATATGGATAATAGGTAGCACAACGTTGGGTGAGCAAACCTGCAAGGGCTATGGCTCCCTTCGGTCGGCTGCTTTCGCCGGTGTCAGTTGTTCCAGCCCTATCCTTGCGCTGGGCAATGTAACCCAATAACGTCAAGACTTAAAAATCTATCCCTTGATTCAGAGCCAATTTTTTCAATGCCACGGTTACCAGTGGAATATTAGGACATGAGGAATGTGAACTCAATGTTATGGAAAACAAACGTGCAATTGACTCCCCCACCGAAGAATTCCACTCGAGAATACAGTTTATCTGTCGACCTTTCGATCCAAGCACGACTAGATTCTCTTTTGGATTTCGCTCTATCAAACTTTGATTCCTCAGTGAACTAACATCGTTCAGGCAGAATCCGGTTTCGCAAGTTATACTCTCCTTCTCTAGTTGTTCGGTATTATGCTCATCTGTTAAGAGTCCTATGAGTCGCATAACTTAATCTTGAACAATACCGCGTCGTCACAGAACTCGGTCGTTCACTCCTATAACAAATATATAATTCACCACCATGCCGTCAACAGAGATACAACACTCCGCCGAAAGCGTCGTTGCCGAAAGTATAGAACAATCTCCATCAAGAACACCTGTCTATTCTTCGAGTGCCCATTTAAACCCGGAATACGCGAAGCAAGAACATCCACATGAGGGAATCCAGCCGGGTCCACCAACAATTCTGGAAGATGAGTCTAGTAAAACCCGGGATCCGGAGAAATCAGGCGCGACTACCCAGGCTGCGCCAGCTAAAGCCCCAGATGCCTCCCCGGATGGTGGCCTCAAGGCATGGATGGTAGTGCTCGGTGCCTTCTGTGGGTTGTTTGTCAGTTTTGGGTGGATCAACTGTAAGTAGCTTTTGGGCTTTGTACCCTTTGCTGTTTGTTGGACCGGGAGCTCGATTTGACACCAGAATGTGTAGGTATTGGTGTCTTCTTAGACTACTATAAAACCCATCAGCTACAGGACTTGCCGACCAGCACCGTAACGTGGATCACTTCATTGGAGATCTTCATGATGTTTTTCGGGGTGCGTACGCCAAGTTCCGGTGCCAGTAGAAGCGAGACTGACGGTTCTATCTCCAAACAGGGTCCCATCGTAGGAGTATTCTTTGACAATTTCGGTCCCCGCTGGATTCTGATAGCTGGCACATTCTTCCACGTCTTTGGGCTAATGATGGTATCCATATCAAAGGAATATTACCAATTCATTCTCGCGCAAGGTGTCTGCAGCCCTATCGGAACAAGTGCCATCTTCCACGGCTGTCTCACCTCCGTGAGCACCTGGTTTCGGCGACGTCGTGCCCTGGCCCTAGGTGTCACAACTTGCGGCTCAAGCGTCGGAGGAGTAATCTTCCCTATCATGGTAGCTCGACTCATCCCCATAGTAGGATTTGGCTGGACCATGAGAATCTGCGGATTCCTCGGTCTAGGGCTCCTGGTTATTGCCAACCTCACGGTGCAATCGAGACTACAACATCACCGGAAACCATTTCGACCATTGGATTTTGTTCGTCCACTCCGTGAACTGCCTTTCGTGCTTACCACGGCTGGGACCTTCTTTGTATACTGGGGCTTGTTTTTGCCGTTCGCTTTCATCCCAACTCAAGCCGAGCGGTACGGCATGTCGGCCTATATGGCGTCATACTTAATCCCGATTCTTAACGCAGCCAGGTCCGTACTCCTCGTTTGTATATCGCATAACAACATGCTAATCAAAACTGTACAGTATTCTCGGCCGTCTCGTACCACCTTATTTGGCCGATCTTTTCGGCAGGTTCAACCTAATGATGTTAACATCCCTGTTCTCAGTCATTATCGTTCTCGCGCTGTGGCTTCCATCACGAAGCAATGCCCCTGCCATCGTGTTTACGTCTCTTTACGGTTTCAGCTCCGGTGCTGCCGTCTCCCTTGCGCCAGCGCTGGTCGCTCAGATCTCGGACCTGCGCGAGATTGGAGTTCGTAGTGGAACGTATTTCTGCATTGTATCTTTTGCTGCTTTAACCGGTATGCCGATTGCCGGTGCTCTGTTGCCTGACCCCTTACATGGGTCGTATTTGAAGTTGGAGATTTTCTGTGGTGTGGTTATGTTCGGTGGAGTTGTGTTTTATCTCTTAGCTAGGGGAACAATTAGCGGTTGGGGGCTTATGCATAAAGTCTAAGAAGTTAGTGGTGGGCATTGTTTGGGGGTCTGGTATATACGTTTTAATCAAGGTATTGTAATGTTTGTGGGTTGGTGAGTCTATGATGCAGAAAATCATGAGGGTAATGAATGGTATTCTGATAAGACTGAACATGCTGGGAGTATATCCAAAATGAATGCAAAATACAATATCAAGCATCTCGCCCAACCAACACCGTAACACCTTCGCTGAATGAATGATAAAATAAATATATGCATCGCACATGTCAGTTGCACCTGCAATGGTGAAAATTTTGCAATGCAGGATGAGAGATGCAATATGCAATATGCAGTTTGTTCAATATGCTTGTGATATCCCAACGCTCCACGGATGCAGATATCAACGTCTATATATTACGCCCTTTAGGCCAAGACTCCATTTCTCATGCTTTCAACAGTCTTAACGCCGACTCCTCTTAGCGTGCTCAGTTCCGCAAGACTATTGATCTGGACTTGTCTATCGCTGTCCTGCTCCTCCAAGTGTTGGTCCATTTCGCAGAGACAGTCGACTATAGCTTCGGCTTTCTTGACGCCAACACCTTTCAACAACTTAATCTGGCTCACGTCGCGTGAGTTGATTATCGATAGAAGGTGGATTGTCCGGGGTGAAGGGGCTTCGTAGCAGTCGACGCTAGACCCTTCGTCTGTCGGAGAACTGGTTTTGGTGCGCTTTTTGCGCCTCGATTGTGTTATTTCTTCGATATCGTCGTCACTGAGTTCCTCGATTCCATCTTCGGGATTGTACTCGCCATCCGAATCCTCAGCTTGACGCTTCAAGCTCGTTCCGAAGGGCTGCCTCTTTATTGAAAGAAGGCTTCCAAACTCCCTCTTGGGTGCTGTGAGGGTGTGATTTCCGGTTGTGTCGGCATCTGGACAGGGCTTGCTTTGGACCCGCTGCTTCAGAGTGCTGATCTTCCTTGCAAGCTTCTCGTTGTCTGGGAAGAAAGGAAGCGCGAGCTGATACATCTTCAGTGCGAAGCTATCCTCGCCACGTGCCTGGTGCTGCTTGGCCATGAGCAAGAATGACAATCCTTCGGCCCTTGCGTCCTCCGTGCCTTCGATGCGCTGCTCTAGCATTTCCAAGCGCTTTTGTACTTGTTCATTCAACTCACGGACCTGCGTTTGCCTTGACTTTTCACTGACAGCTCTTACAGCCAGAATCTCCTCTACCTTCTTTTCAACCATCTCTTCAATTTTGGCGGCGGATATATCTTCGTACTGTTTTTGTGACTGAAGGGGCTGCGCGATTCGGCTGGGTTTTAACGAGCGGTGGTTAGAATCTAGGGATGGACGCTTTGGTGGCTCAGGTTTTCTGAATTGGGTTGAATCCCTAGACCGCAGTTTGTCAGAGTAGACGTGGAACGCCTTGACTGGTTTCTCTCCAGTTTTCGACGCATCCTTCTCTTTGTTGGCAAGTGCTGTCAGGTTGACATTGGCAGTAGCGGTCAATGGACGCAGAGGCTGCCTTTGGGCAGTCACTGAAGGGCGCGCTGCTGGTCTCGGAGGCCCTTTGAACATCGGCTCGTTCTCCACCTCACGAACCTCAATCTTCTTTGTACGATTGGCAAAGTTCAATGAGCTTATGGTGTCCAGGTGATAGGATTTGATGGGTGCGAGGTTGAGAATCATCACCGTCAATCCATTGTTCTGGCCCAAGGAAAGGATTCTTGTCATCTTTGACTCTCTGTACGGAATCCTATGGTGTTTCTTGCTTATGGCTTCCACACACTGTGCCAGAACAAAAAGGCTCTTGTTAATACTCGCTGACTCAATCATGCGTTCTTTGTCATTGTCTGTTCGACGGTTATCCTCTGAACCAGCTAAGTCAATGGCAGATGCTGTGCTGATCCGAGTCTTGCCACCAGAGCTGACGGCTACTTTGACGCAGAGAATAGCATGAGACCGTGATGAATGAGCGTTTAACTATGAGAGAATTCAGTCACATGGCTCAGACCTACAGGGGTCGAAGGTTTGCTTACCTTTGTCGCAGATGTAGACCTGTTGGTGTTGGCCTGATCATAAAGGCTCTCAAACTCTTTCAGACTTGTACATGGCCTTTCCGTCAGGCCTACAACCACTGTCTTTCCTCCATTATCACGCAAAGGTAACCCCGCAAGAGTTCTCTTCTCCGGAGGCTCAAACAAGTCGAAGACCTTGTCATTGTAGATCTCGTAATAGCTCAAGGAAACGTTCACCGCCGTCTCGCCGTCACCATCCTTTTCAAGCTTCCGGCTGCGCCTATATATGCTACTCAAAAGACGGGGAATGGCGCCTCGGTCAGCCAGGCTTTTACCGCCCCGCATCGTGTGTGTTTTCCCGGTACCCGTGACTCCGTAGGCGAACAAGGTGACATCGAAACCGTTGAATAGATGCTTAACCGTAGGAGCAACTGTCCGTTCTGATCAGTATAGAGTCACTATCCCAGGCACAACGAAGTGGGACACCAACCCTCGGCATCAAAGAGTTCCTGCTGTGTAGAATCCGCATCGTAGACAGCATTGAACTGAAAAGAGTATTCCTCATTCTCATTCTTGGGGTTTGGAATCCGTACAATGGTATCTCGATCCCGCAATGCCGCCAGCTTCTTTTCCTGGGAGCTCTGTTTCTCGATCTTGCTAGGGGCGGCTTGAGTTGTAGACCCCGTACGGAGGATGATATCCAATTCCCGCTCGGACTTCAGGAGTGGCCTCACACGCGCAACGACCCGGACACTCATATTGTACTTCGTGTGAAATTTTCGAGAAAGAGGTCTCTTCCAATCCACCTTTTTGTCGTATCGGAAATAGCCGTCTACCGTCTTTTCGCACCGTTGGGAAAGTACCTGTCGCACTATCCCTGCCGCATAGGAGACAAATGCACGCAATTTAAATAAGAGTGAAAGACACAATGAACAGCTCCACCTTGTGCGTCAGGGAGCTGTCTCGCAACTTTGAACTTAACGAAAATACAATGCAAGCTCTTTTCGCATTGGCGCTGTTATGCCAGAAAACAAGCAACGGGAGAAAATCAAATATATTAAATCAATGAAACCAACAGAAAAACAAAACAGGAAAAAACTCCTACAGCCGATCAATGGCGTGAGCTGATGTTGGAAACAGAAGAGTGACAGGGATACTTAGCTTGGTTTTGGTGCGATTGGCAGCGGTCAACGCTGTTGGCACGGCAACCTCTGTCAAAAACCTCCCCAGACATTCCACGTCACGCTACGGGCCTTCATTTGGGCAGATTATGATAAAAAGACTACTTAATCCTACTTTTTTGTTCGTGTACTAGGGTTGTATGATATCAGGCTGGAGTAGTTACTCGTCATATATCACCTAGACTATTAAGCATACCTTATCTATACTAAGCTTTAGTGTTAGAGCACTATATATATCGGATACCTATGCCTGTGATGATTTGAGATAGATCAGATTTTATGGCAAGGATATAAAGAGAGTAGTCAAGTAAGCGACTTGAATAAGGAACAGGCACCCATCCCTATTCAACACGAGCGAATGGCTGGTATTCATCCTTCTCATCTATTGTACCTTGACTATTGCCATCTACCCCCTTCGAAGTATGAGATCATAATTCGAATGAACAACACCGAGTGAAATTTTCTGAACTGCTTGATGCTATTCTCACTAGTCAAGTAGTATAGGACAATCTTAACGGTATAATTCATTTGGAACAGTAATCCTAAGAGTTCCATGGTATACCCTTCGAACCTCGCCTTAGAAAGTGTTCTCTGTACTCCGTAGACCTAGGTATATACTATCAAGTAAACCTCAGGCATGAGGTCGGTTAGCATGCGGGGCTCTGATTGGCCGATCGGGGAGCAGCCGCCGCAAAGGCCACCGTACACCACCATCGTCAGTTCGACGCCGTTGTCGTTCCGCTCCCACAGCTACCCCAACCTTCTCAAGGACACGTCGACTGAACTCGAGTGCGGTGTATTCGTGTGGCCTTGTCATCCTCTCAATTTTTATGGTTGGACCGTTGACGATTTTTGGTTGTTAGTACGCAGATTGCCCTAGATCACTCGTTCCCCTCCTGTTTACGAGTAGTGTGTTGACCGCCAATATAGTGAGCCTGTGACGATTGCGCGACGTTAACATATACTCCGGTTAACCCCTACACAAGTTCACGGAGATAATAATCCACCAGTTACCCACTACGGCATATCGAAATAGCCATTCATGGCCGCACCACAAGGGGGTTACCCTCCCCAGGAAGGGTATGGTCAACCTGCCGGATATGAGTCTCCTTCACAGCAAGCTGCGGGATTAGCCCCTACTCCGGCTCAACATGGAGGTAGAAAGAAACGAGCATATGCCGGTGAAGCCTTCGAGTTTGGATCCGGTGCCAATGCTGGCCTAGGAGGTCAACTACAGGCTGGTGGTGCCTACGGAGGATACGCAGCTCAGCCACAAGCTGCGGGATATCAGCAACCCGTCTACGGGGCGGATCCTGCTCAGATGCAAGCAGCTGCTCAAGGATATGCTGCCCCTGCGGCGCCCGCAGTCGCTCAGATGACCCAACAGTTCGGTGCGATGGGGGTGACCGATCCGCATCTGATGCCACCGCAGCCCGTTCCTCAGGCCGCCCAGGCCCCGCGACCTGTTCTCAACAATCTTTACCCAACAGACCTCCTCACACAACCATTCAATGTCGCGGAACTTGACTATCCTCCACCTCCGATTGTTTTACCTCAAGGAGTATGTACTGGAATTGGAGAAGTGTTAATATCGGTGCTGCCAAGTTACTGACTGTGTATTAGACCAGTGTTTACCCCTCCCCTACTGCAAACTGTCCTCCTAAATATGTCCGGTCAACTCTCAACGCTGTTCCCACCACCCACTCTCTCCTGAAGAAGTCCAAGCTGCCTTTCGCTCTTGTCATCCAGCCATACGGAGCGCTCCATGATTCGGAAGACCCGGTCCCAGTGATCCCAGACCAAGTTATCTCTCGTTGTCGCCGTTGCCGATCCTACATTAATCCCTTCGTGACATTCCTTGATCATGGGCATCGCTGGCGTTGCAACATGTGCAATCTGACAAATGATGTACCCCAGGCCTTTGATTGGGATACAACGCTGCAACGGCCGGCGGATAGGGCATTGCGACCTGACCTGAACCATGCGGTTGTTGAGTTCGTTGCGCCGCAAGAGTACATGGTGCGCCCCCCGCAGCCACTCGTCTACCTTTTCTTGATCGACGTTAGTTATGCATCTGTCACCAACGGTCTCTTGGCTACGAGTGCTCGGTGCATCAAGGAAAGTCTCGAACGGATTCCTAATGCGGACCGCCGGACGCGACTGGGTTTCGTAGCGGTTGACTCCAGCCTCCACTATTTCAGCATCCCGCGCGATGGCTCAGAGAACTCGGACCCAAGGATGCTTGTTGTCAGCGATTTGGACGAGCCATTCCTCCCTATCCCTGGTGACTTGCTAGTAACTTTGAGCGAATGCCGTGAAAACATTGAAACGTTCCTGGATAAATTGCAGGAGATGTTCCAGAACACTCAAAACAATGGCTGTGCTATGGGATCGGCACTGCGTGCTGGTTACAAGTTGATCGCCCCTGTCGGAGGCAAGATGACCGTTCTAAGCTCTTCTCTTCCCAACGTCGGACATGGCGCCCTGACTATGAGAGAGGACAAAAAGGTTCTGGGCACCAGCAAGGAGAGCGGTCTTCTGCAGACCGCAAACAGCTTCTACAAGAGCTTTGCTGTAGAGTGTTCGAAAGCTCAGGTCTCTGTAGATATGTTCCTCTTCTCTTCTCAGTACCAGGATGTGGCGTCTCTCAGCAACCTGCCTAGATATACTGGCGGTCAGACGTACTTCTATCCTGGATGGAACGCTGCACGGGGAGAGGATGCGATCAAGTTCGCCCGGGAATTCTCGGAATACCTCTCGTCTGAGATCGGCCTGGAGGCCGTCCTTCGTGTCCGTGCTACGACCGGTTTGCGCATGAGCACATTTTACGGTAACTTTTTCAATCGCAGTTCCGACCTCTGCGCTTTCCCTGCTTTCCCCCGCGACCAGGCCTACGTTGTTGAAGTGGCCATTGATGAGACAGTTACAAAACCTGTTGTTTGCATGCAGACCGCTGTCCTTCATACTACATGCAATGGTGAGAGGAGAATTCGGGTCTTGACTCTGGCACTTCCCACTACCCAGAGCCTTGCAGATGTTTACGCATCGGCAGACCAGCAGGCGATTGCTACTTACTTTAGCCACAAGGCTGTTGAACGGGCACTCGGAAGTGGCCTGGACCCTGCCCGGGAAGCCCTGCAGGCCAAGGCCGTGGAGCTTCTGGCAACCTACCGAAAGGAGCTCGCTGGTGGAAGTGTGAGCGGTGGAGGCCTACAGTTCCCTGCTAACTTGAGAGGACTCCCTGTTCTTTTCCTCGCACTGATCAAGAATGTAGGAACCTTTATTGCACCCCCTATCCCCTAGCTTTGGCACCGACTAACGTGATGACGTAGCTTGGCCTTCGGAAATCTGCACAAATCCCGACTGATATGCGCTCCGCGGCGCTCTGCTTGCTCTCGACGCTCCCCCTCCCCCTTCTCATCCAATATATCTACCCGAAGATGTACTCTCTGCACGACATGCCGGATAATGCTGGCCTGCCAGATGAGCAAACGGGCGAGATTGTTCTTCCCCCACCGGTGAACTTGTCTTCTGAGCGGGTCGTCCCATACGGTCTCTACCTTATTGACGATGGTCAGACACAGTTCCTCTGGGTGGGACGTGACGCTGTGCCACAACTTATTGTTGATGTCTTTGGCCTGCCAGACAAGTCGCAACTTCGTGTGGGCAAGCAGAACCTCCCTGACCTGGATAATGACATGAACCAGCGCGTGCGGGCGGTCATTGAGAAGAGCCGGGATCACCGGTCGAAGGGCTGCGGCAGTATTGTGGTGCCACACCTGTATGTGGTTAAGGAGGATGGAGAACCCGGTCTCCGACTGTGGGCACAGACAATGCTCGTGGAAGACCGAGCCGACCAGGGCGTCAGTCTTGTGCAATGGATGGGCAACTTGCAGGAAAAGGTTTGACCCCGTTTCCTAGGCTCTCATTCTTTTATTTATCTCCTGTGCCTGTCACCCAAACCTATGACCTGCCAAGTCATTAGGCTGACGAGGATGAACACGCCTACAGGTTGTGCAGTAATGGTAGCTTTCACAAGTTTTGGTAAATTATATGCAAGAGATATCAATATATTCCTCATCTGCCTGGATTCTCTGTATTACTATCTTTTTTTTTATTCTTATTTTTAGTTTAGGTTATTGCTAGCGAGATATTTTAGTCTTCTCCGTATGTCACTGCATAGACCGTTATCTTTACTGTGTTACTCCCTCCTTCGTCTTTTATTGGCAGAGATAAGAAAATAAATAAATATATATAAAAAAAAAATGAAATATAGCATAGAGGAGATCCTGCCACCTGGAACCATTTCAAACTAAAGTATATCCTTCATGCAATGCCCAGAATCTGTCTCATGAAAAAAAGGGTGCATGAGCCCCGAGCGTCTGTCAGGCCGATCATGCACAGTAGACTTTAGATCACAGCTTAGCATGTCGGCTCAGTCGACAAGGCTGGGTGCCGCAGAGCGAATCAGAGGCGAGCATGGGGACGGCGTTGGCGACATGACGAGGGGGAATGCCAAAATATTCGGGAGATTAGACAACAAAAGGAGAGAGGGAGATGCAGTAAACTTGTGACGACTGTGATGATGAGCAGTAGCGCGAGGTGAAGGTTGGCAACGGCACTGCCCCCTCTCCACTAGACCAACACTTGAGACGTGGACTAAACTCCATCAGGAGGCAATTGGCGCTGGTGGCGGGTTACTTGGTGGTGGATGGCATTGAAACACTGGCCGGGATGTAGTAAGTTTTTGGGAAGGGAGACCCATTTAAATCCAGAGGGAAAATTGACCGTCGTTTGGGAGGATGATCCATACAGCTGCTCAACAAACCCTGTCATGGTTTTCGTGATACCATAATTAAAAAGCAAATTAACTTAAGAGGCAGTAGATGAATACCGGACCCTGAGATTGCGCATGCTAATTGGGAAGTAGAAGAGCTTATAGGTAGGGCGTGGCGGGTCCTGTGATTAAGTATCATCTATGTAGGTATCATACAAGTCTTTCGTTGATACAAACGGGTTCTAGAGGTACCTGACTCCGTATGGGTTCCTGATTAGTTTCCCTTCCCCAATACGTGGCTGTTACAGGATTTGTAACCTTATGGGTGATTTTAGTCACTAAGCCCAGCCAGTGTTGACTAGTAGCAACTAGTTGACCCCGTAGTTCAATGTCTTGTCTTTGTACCAGAGACATATTGGATTTAATGGATGTATTAGGTACTACCTAGAAAGTACAGTACCCTATAGTATAGGTCTAGGTTATGGATCACATACTAAATACGTACATTATCCGCCGCCCCTCCCCGTGATCCATCATTTACCCCCCCAAAAAAGTAGAAGAGGTTCTCCATCCTTTTTTCTCGATTCGTATTTCCATTTTTCGGAATTTTTGTCGAGCCAAACAGCACTTAACTTGGTTGCTTCCCCCCCAGCGGAACCAACCTTGTTGTGTGCGTGTCTTTCCTTCTCCTACCTCTCCTTTTAGACCATCCCCCCCGTCTATCATCCCACATCGAGTAAAGAATTGATCCACGGTTCCATCCGATCTAGAAGATCTAGGGAATCGAACACGCTGGTTCTGGATCCTCTCCGTTGCGTCCCTCTTCCAGGGATTTGGTTCTCTGCCTCGTTGTGTACGATCATCAAGAACTGACTGGTACGAATCTCTCTCTATTTTCTCTTGGTCGTCGTCGTCTTCTTCCCCTCCATTCTGCCCCACTCCACTTTTCGCTGATCCGCTCCCCATTATTAACTTCCTACTATTGCTGCGACTATTGCGTTACTGTGATCACTGCTTGGTTCTCCTGTTCTTCCACGGTGCTGCATCTGTCGAAACACCAACTTCCAACGCTTTTTACCCATTATCCAGCTCCAATCTCATTGCCGAGGTCGAAGTATCTCAAACTGATTGCTGAGGCCACGCAGGAGAGAAGGGATAGACAATCCAGGAAGTAAAAATAGACCACAGTCCTGAAACATCAACTTCCGAGACTAAAGAACAAAGACTAATTCCGAGTCATGTACGGATGCTTCCCCGGTGGTGACGGTTGATTCGACACCTCCGATGTGATCAGCTGTGGAATCGTTCGATGGTGGAAAGTTACTAACATGAGCAACTTTAGTACACCGGATCATTCGCTTTAAGCGCCGTTCGCTATCTCTATTAGTCCAGGCTATTTCAATCTCGCATTCGGTGCCGTTTCAGTCATTGTTATATCTGTACCGAACTTCCTGCAACCTTCGACGAATCGTTTGACAGCAGACACAACGCCATACCTACCCCGCATTCAATCAGAACGAATTCCGAAAACTGTTTCTCTATCAGCATCGCCAGGGCGTACGAACTTGCTTAAAGTGTCCCAAAGCATTTATAAAAGGGGAGCCTATCGTCTGAGCGAATGTAAGCGCATTCTCAATAACTACTACCGGGGTTATTATGAACCCGCCATGTTTACTGCTATGTTGTCCGCCGATGATGTACCGGATAGTTTGTGACACAACTACACAATACCTTGTCGCTGGGAGTCGCTGTCAATTTGACTGCCTCACAGTAGTCAATGCAGAAGTGAAGCGCAGTACACATAGCAACCAACCACCACAGCCACAAGTCGTATACATTCCGCTAATACAGTCTAGTTCGGACAGTCCACGAATATGGTGCAGCAACTTCCTCCCCAGGGAGGTTCACGAAAAATCTCCTTCAACGTTTCCGACCAATATGAAATTCAAGATGTCATTGGTGAAGGTGCCTACGGTGTGGTTTGGTAAGTGCCGGCACAAGGAGAGATTGGTATTATGCTGACAGCCCAGCTCTGCCATCCACAAACCATCTGGTCAAAAAGTTGCCATCAAGAAGATTACCCCTTTCGACCACTCGATGTTCTGCTTGCGGACTTTGCGTGAGATGAAGCTGCTTCGCTATTTTAACCATGAGAACATCATCTCTATCCTAGATATCCAAAGACCACGCAACTATGAGAGCTTCAACGAAGTTTATCTAATCCAGGTATTTACACGCAGAAGACTGGATGAGAATCATTAGACACTAATCAGTCCCTAGGAGCTGATGGAGACTGACATGCACCGGGTCATTCGTACCCAAGATCTTTCGGACGATCACTGTCAATATTTCATTTACCAGACCCTACGTGCCCTCAAAGCTATGCACTCAGCAAATGTTCTTCATCGTGATCTGAAACCTTCGAACCTGCTCCTCAACGCAAATTGCGATTTGAAAGTTTGCGATTTTGGCTTGGCCCGTTCAGCTGCCTCCACAGATGATAATTCAGGGTTCATGACAGAATATGTGGCGACCAGATGGTACCGTGCGCCGGAGATCATGTTGACATTCAAGGAATACACCAAAGCCATTGATGTGTGGAGTGTTGGTTGTATCCTCGCCGAGATGCTGAGCGGAAAACCCCTATTCCCCGGAAAGGATTGTACGTCGTTCCTTAACAATCGTTGGAGACAGTCAGCTAACATATCTTTAAGATCATCACCAATTGACTCTTATTTTGGATGTTCTTGGTACACCGACAATGGAGGACTACTATGGAATCAAATCCCGACGGGCTCGGGAATACATCCGGTCTCTCCCTTTCAAAAAGAAGATCCCCTTTAAGGCGCTATTCCCGAAGGCTAACGATTTGGCCCTGGACCTCCTGGAGAGGCTCCTGGCATTCAACCCCGCTAAGCGTATTACTGTGGAGGAAGCTTTGCGTCATCCGTACCTGGAACCGTATCATGACCCCGACGATGAGCCCACGGCACCTCCCATTCCAGAAGGGTTCTTTGACTTCGACAAGAATAAGGATGCCCTTAGCAAGGAGCAGTTGAAGAGTGAGTCAACCTCAATTATACAGACATGCTTCGTTGTTCCTATGCTAACATTCGCAGTGCTAATCTATGAGGAAATCATGCGGTGAGCTTGCGTTGGACAGCTTATCCATCGGGAAAGACGGAATACAGGTCGGGATAAATAGGATGGGATGACCGAACCCATGCACTTAATATCTAGTTGCATAGACGACAAGCCAGGGTAATACACTCGCACATCGACTATGATATTGGCTGAGTCTCATGATTGGCCTTTTTGACACGTTTTTAGGCGTCTGGTGCTTTCACTTATTTAACAGATAAGCCGGTCTTACGCTCGTCAATCTTGAGCTGGAAATACATTATTGCCGAGGTTCTCAGCCAGCGTAAGATTGTTCATCAATCATAACGGGTATATACTACGATACTGGTATAGATACAAACATCGATCACAGGCAACATAGACCTATTGCCCTGTCTTATCCTTCCTCCAGTTCTCCATGAATTCCTCAATGCCCATGCCTACTCCCTCCTGACTCGGTTTCTCAGCACAAACATCCGCCTCAAACCCATACTTATTCTTCAAATGATCCCTCGTCGTAGGCCCAATCGTAGCAACAAACACCCTCCTCTCTCCACCCCCAAGCCCCTTCAACACCCGCACCATAGCATCACACCCCGTCGGCGAAAACACAACCACCCAAACCGCCCTCTCCACCCCACCCCCCAAAAACTCCTCCGAAGCACGAACCGCCTCCGCAAAACTCTCCTCAAACCCCTCCATAACCCCCGTCTCGTAGACCACCAACTCATCAACCCCAATCCGCTGCTCCGGCGACAGCGACCCCGCCGTCAACGTCTTGGGAATGATATCCCTCCGCTGCTCCCCGACAAGGAACAGCAAAGGCGGTTTCGGTTGCGAGTCATACAACGGGCTATAATGGGAGAGGATGAAGTGCGCCAGGTTCTCGCCGTTTCCTGTCTCCTCGCCGAGGATTGTTGCGTGGGGAAGATGATCGTCCCGAATGGAGGTTAGGGATCGGGATGTAGCGGGGCCGACGGTGTAGAGGATCAGAGATTGGGAAGAGGTTTGTTTAGTTGATTCTGTTGTTTTGCGGGAATTAGTTACTGTCTTTTCTTTCTTCCCTTGCAGGTAGAAGAAAACTTTGTTTGAATTGAATGTTCAAGAGGGGTGGTGGTGTGGGTATAAACTCACCATCGATATCGTTGAGGATCGTCGCGAATCCCTCTACGGCCCGCTGGCTTGTGAATATTAGGCCGCCATATTTGCGGCCCGGGCCGGGTTCCAGGGCTCCTGACTGGAAGAGCTGTTTCACGGTGGTTAAGTTTGGGGTGTGGAAGTTGTGTTCGAGGACTGGGATGAAGGTGGGGGTGTAGCTGTGTGCGGAGAAGTATTCTTCGTAGCTGTCCGTCGGGGAGGATTTGGTTTTGAGGAGGAGGATAGGGGTCGAGGAGGTGTTGAAGGTGAACTGAGGTGGCATTTTGTCTTTTCGTTTGTTAAGTCGTTGGTTTTGTTTCTTTTTGGAGGGTGTTGATGTTTAGTGGTGGGTTTAGGAGAGAAGTGCGGAGGCGGGCTTAACAGTGGAGTGGGGTGATTAGTTTAGAATTATTTATTTATGTATGGAGGAACTTTTGAATAACTTTAGATAATGATCTCGGTAGCGCTGTCGAGTTCAATTTTACTGTCACATACAAACTCATTGGCACAAAAGAAAAAGAAACGGATGGATGTCTAGCTTATGTACAGTAAAGAAACACAGACTACTGGTCGTCCAAGACGTGCAGATACTTCTTCTCCTCCTGTCTCTCCCGCTCCGTGGCCGGAGGCAGATCGTAGTACGAAGCGCTACGGTATCCCAACTATGCAACTGTTAGTACACTGTAGAAACCATCGAGACTGCCGTAGAGTGCTTACCAGGTAGTGGAAAGTAAGGGTGGCCAGATCAACAGGCTCAATGCCCAAGTCCTTGAAGGTCTTAGCATTGGGGTCGATCACCTGGTCAATGAACTCCCGCTCAACCTCGTCAGGCGAGATAATGGGCCACCAGAGCAGCTTGTTCAGGTAGTGGGCAACAGGCTTCAAGATCGGCTTGGGAACGTTGATGTGACGGCGGTGCTTGACGATTTCACGGTCAACCAGCTCGGCAATCTCGGCAGTAGAGTAGTTCTTGGGACCGTAAAGTTCGAAAGTCTGACCAGCAGTGGAGTCATCGTGAAGCATACGCTCCAGAGCATTGCCAACATCGGGGGCCTATTTGAATCAGCATCGTATCCAATGCAAACGGATCAGATGTAGCTTACGTGAACGGGCCAGTAGCGCTCCTGCATGTGGTTGGAGGTAAGGAGGTTGGTGACCTTAGCAAGCTTGTGGAGAAGGTTATCCTCGAAACCGAACATAGGAGCAGGGCGGACAATGGTGGTCTCGGGGTAAATGGAACGGGCAATTTCCTCTCCCCAGGCCTATACAGGTCAGCTTAGCATAATATTGACATGTTGTGGCTTGAAAAACGGACCTTAGTGGCGAAGAACTCGGAAGGAGAGTCTCTGCTGGCGTTGTAGGAAGAGACGTGGATGTATCGGTCAACATCATACTTGGCGACAGCCTCAACGATGCGCTCGATGCCGTCGACGTGCACGTCGGTATAGGAAAAGTTCCTGCATATCATAAGTAGCTGTTCAATCCACTCTATTGGGTTATCACTGACTTAGTAGGATATTGGCGACCGACAAGGTTGTAAACAATATCGGAATGACGGACACTCTCCTCGATCGACTGGGTGTTGCGCAGGTCATATTCCTACCACAGATTAGTCGAGATGACCACCGCTGAAGATCGATTGCGGGTACTGTACCAGGAAGTTGACCCTTCCGAGATCACCGGTGGGCTTCAGATGTCTCTTGGTCATCTCCTCACGGTAGGGAACAACGACCGTGCATCCCTGCGAAGCTAGACGCCGTCAGCTTCCATACGTCCTGCGAGCCAGCCGTTGACCTACCGAGCCTGTTGACAATGTAACGACCGAGGAAACCAGTAGCACCGAAGACAGTGGCGGTGTGGCCTAGAACACAATTCCAGTTAAATCTTCTGAGGGCAATGCGACGATCGGAAAAAGGGCCAAGTACCTCCAAGAGACGACCTGTAAGAGTGTCAATTAGCCACCATCCACCTATATAGCTTCAACACAATGGACTTACCGTCCACCCTGGACCTTCAAGATCGGCTTTCCGGTTCTAGTGATCGCGACATCTTGGAGATTCCGGCGCTGCACTTGTTGGACCTTGGGGGCGGGGGCAAATGCCCTCGAGCCCAAGGCGGAATTGACGGCCCGGCACTTCTGCATGGTCTCTCTTCAGCTCTGAATCAAGATGAGACCACCGAATTGCGTCCGGATCGGTGTTTCGTGGGGCAGTAAAAAGCGAATGGGGAGAGCAACGCTCAGCAGGCGATCTCGTGCTTGATGCTGAACTTGTCGATTGTCGTGCTGGAGAACGCAAACTGCCGGCACGGGACCTATGCACTAGTCCCGATTCGGACAGCACATTGAACTACCTCTGACACGTTACCCCTTCACTTTTCAGCCCTTCCACTTGCCATTTGCAAATTTCAATCAGTCAATGGTATGTCCGACGTAGAAACAAGCCATGTCACTTGACACTGCCAGACAAGCTGTCTGTCCTCGCCTTCAGAAGGCGTGCAACTGCAAACCTGCCTCAATTGTGTCTGACTATTCCTGAAATATGATTGGATGCTGTTCCCCGGGCCATCACTACTACAGCACATCATCTAACGTCCGCAACTCAACATTCTTTTCATATTTGTCCCAGAACTATTGATGCAGTAACAACCGAAGGTTTTACTAAAAATTTGCACAGCTTACTATATTTGTCTGAGTATACAGTCTACGGTGACAATCGATTTTTTATGTCCAAGTCTATTTTCATATGTAGAGCTCAGAACCTAACATATAGTGCTATTCATGTCTCATTACCTTACATAGTCAAGTATTATACTAATCCCCCTAAAGATCGGAATTTACTGGCGCTGGCCCCGGGCAATGAAGATAGTCTTGGAGAATGTCTTTCCGTCTCTTTCAATAACCAGCGGTTCTTCAATGACTTGATAGTCGAACCCCATTCCAAGCCCTGCATTTTCATAAAGCTTGCGCATATCCTCCAAGGTAAAGCCATGAGTCTTGATTGTGTGCGCGGTTTCATGGTGGGGGTTGTGCATTTCATGGGCATTATGGTCATGCTTGCCATGTGGAAGTACGTCGATTATCAGACACACACCACCCTTCTTCAGTCGTTCTCCGAGACGCTTCATGGCCAGATCCGGCTTTTCGAAATGGTGGAGGGCCATGCTGACAAACGCAACATCGAAATCGGAATACTCTGGCCCTGAGAGCTCCTCTGGCATGGGTTCGGCCAGAAGGTCACCCTTACGGCCAATCATTTTGTCCTCAAAACCGGCCTCACGAGCGCTAGCGTTGTACTCGTCGACCATGCCGTCCGCGACGTCTATGCCAACGATTTTGGTGGCGAATGGCGCCAATGCCTTTATAATACATTAGCTCGTCTTACACGACTACGGTCTGTAACGGCATAGACCAGCGGGGACAATAGACTGACCGTAGATATAACGCCAGGGCCACATGCATATTCCAACACCTTGATCTCCTTGCCTTGCCCGGCTTCGGTGTCAGCCCAAACGTCACTACCCCAAAGGCGCTTTTCCTGAGCCACGCGGTATAGCAATTTTGTGCCCTTTTCGAACCGGGTTTTGTATGTTTTGGACATGTTGCTATGTATTGTGAGCCACGACTCTTAAGTGTAAGGAAAGAAGACCTTACTCCCAGACCTGTCTGTTCTTTTCGGTGAACTCGGACATGGCTATTGAGGTGAATATCAATGATTCTTCTCTAGATAAAGTGGTATGCTGAAGCTGTCTTTGATACTGATCAATAGAATTCAATGAGTTGAGAGATGGAGATTGAAGAACAGAGGAGAAAGGAACAGAGGCAAACACGACATATTTATGTTGACCAGTGGATCTCTAGAAGGAAACTCCAACAAGGTTCGTGGTCTCTTGTTGGTCTCTGTATGGCCCTTTCGGAGACATATCGGATACTTCTATACCGCTAAACCGCGGCGCTCCAGTAGTAAGCGACGCTGGGAGAGTTCTATGAATAGTTCAACCAATGAAAGTTATGTTTTCAGGCATTATGAGTCAAACTACGTATGTCTAGAATTGTATACCGTGAAAAAGTGGAACATGGGCGAACCTGTACCTCTATCACATAGTACTATGCAATAAATGTATCCTTGTACCTGAGGGCTTACCTTCCATGTCATGTGCTCGGGCGGCGCAAAGACACCGCCTTTGAGTGAGCTTCGCTCCACTTCTCCATCCACTCTCCCATCGTCATCAGCTGCTGCTACCTTATTCATTGTCTTACAGCCTTGTTCCCACGCCTGCTCTACCTTAACTGACAGCGCCAAGCTCTGGTATTTGCTAGCAATCCACCATCTGATTCACACGACTCCGTTTCACAGCCCCTACTCTCCCCGCGATGGAGAACCAGAAGATCTCCGACTTCCTGGCGGACCAGCTGCAGCAAGCTCCAGAACAATGCCAGGCCTACTTCCTCACCTTCGAAGACTACTGGGAGCGGAAATTATGGCACCAGCTTACCGACTCCTTAATTGAATTCTTTCGCCTTCCAGAGAGCGCCCCTCAACGGTTACCGATATTCAAGACCTTCGTGCTTAGCTTCGCCGACAAGATCAACCAGCTGAAATTCGTCTCGTTGGGGTTAATGGCATCGACAGAATGTGCAGGTATGCCTTGAATTTGTTTCGCATTGCCTGAAACTCTAGATAGTGGTACTAAATCATTACCCACCAGATGACAAAGAACGCCTCTCTTTCCTCACATCCCTCGCCGACAAGGTGAACAAGCCTGACACACAAGAAGCCTACATCTATGCCCTTGCGGACGTCGCCAATGTCAAGCAACGGCTCAACGACTTGGATGGAGCACAGAAAGACCTGGAAACGTGTCAGAAGGTGCTGGATAACTTCGACTCGGTCGAGACGGTTGTCCACGCCTCCTTCTATAAAGTCAACGCTGACTATTACCATGTATGTGCCACGTAGAAGTCGGATTTACCGCCAAATAGACTAACAGAGCATATCTAGAAAAAACAAGAATTCGCCTCATTCTATAAGAACGCCCTCCTCTACCTCGCCTGTATCAACCTAGAGGATATCAGCGAATCCGAGCGCGTCTCTCGCGCGTACAATCTCAGTGTCGCCGCCCTCGTCTCTGACTCTATCTACAACTTTGGTGAACTACTCCTCCATCCAATTTTGGACTCCCTCACCGAGACCCCCCACAGCTGGCTCCGCGACCTTCTCTTCGCCTTCAACCGCGGCGATCTCACTGCCTATGACGTCCTGGCCGGTAACATCTCCAAGAACCAGCTTCTAGAACAACATCGTTTCTTCCTCTACCAGAAGATCTCCCTCTCAGCCCTCACGGAGATGGTCTTCCGCAGACCCCCGCATGACCGGAACCTGACTTTCGAGGCCATCTCCTCCGAGACGAAGGTGAAGCCCGAGGAGATCGAACATTTGATCATGAAGGCTTTGTCTTTGGGTCTGCTGAAGGGCGCCATCGACCAGGTGGCTGGAGTCGCGCAGATCAACTGGGTGCAGCCAAAGGTTCTGGACATGACCCAGATTGAAGGCATGCGGAATAGACTGAAGGACTGGGACGCAGGCGTCAACCAATTGGGTCACTGGATCGAGGGTGTTGGCAAGGATGTGTGGGCTGCATGAGCTATATTCGATTGTCGTTCCTCATCATATTCTGAACGTAAATGGGCACTACAAGAGTAGCACTTGGGGTTATATGTACGAATGAATATTAGACGTGACACCCATAATTAAGACGTATGAAATCATGCAGAATTTTCACCTCCGACTTCCTCACCTCCACACAATCTCTATCTTCAACCATACATCTAACATCCCCAAAACAAAGCAAACCCACCACAACCCAGCCCAAACAGAACCAACACTTAAAACAAAAAAACAATGGAAGAGGGCCCAGAAACCACCCTCCAAAGACTCACCACCCAACTAACGACCACCCCGCAAGCCTTCCCAACATGCTGCCTCTCACTCTCCACACCCCTCCTCGAAACCTTGGCAACCCTTCTCCCCAAGAAACCAAACTACACTCTCTCAATCGGCAGCGGCAGCGGCCTCCTCGAAGCCCTCCTAACCCACAACTACCCAACCCTCCAAATCGAAGGCGTCGACGTAAACCCCACCGTAAACCGCTACATCGCCGAACACGACATGCACGTTGTCACGGGCACCTGGGATCTCCTGTCCTGGCGCGTGCCCGGCGCAAAGGCGTGGATGTTTGTCTATCCGCGGGAGCCGAAGTTGGTGGAGAGGTATATTGAGACGTTTGGGGAGGGGGGTGTGGTGGAGGTGATTTTGTGGTTGGGGCCTAGGGCGGATTGGGGGGATTATGTGGGGTGTTTTGAGGGAAGGGGGTTTGGGGTAGAGAGGGTTGTTGGTGTTGAGGCGGGGTTGGAGGGGTTTGAGATGTTGGCGATTGTTAGACGGGTTAGTTCTTCTGGTTAGGTTTGTTTCTTTTATTGGGGGGTTCTTTTTCTTTTTCTCTTTGATTATGTGTGTGTGGGGTGGGGGTTGTTGTTTGAATGTTTCTTTGGTACGGTGGATGATATAGAGATTTAATTTACCGTATTTGTTTCTTGTCTGGTTTATATAGAGTCGACCTTATGGTAAATCAATTGGACCTTCTTCAAAACAGGGAGAATCCCAATAGGGCGCATCCAATCATCCAGGCTGGCCACCAGACACACCATACAACTACCTGTGTCCACATCCCCCAGACGTCCCATCCAAACGCAGCTTGCGTTAGAATGGTCTCCACTGATACTCCGGTATACCAACAGCCCCCGAGGAGGACGACGGGGGGCGAGAGAAGATTTAGGAGCACGAGTCCGATGAAGGCGAGTGCGTACCGGATAGGTGCACTGGTGGTAGGGCTGATGCGGTTGACGAAGCTGAGGGGAGTGCAGAGCAAGCCGATCATGAATGAGAGGGAGAAGTTCAGAGTAGCCAGAGTGGAAAGGAAGAGACCAAGGAGGAGGAGGGAGAAGGATTTCATAAGGAGGTATTGCTGGGGTTTGGGGGTGAAGCCTTGGGTAAGCAAGACTGCGAGGAGTAGCGGAAGGACGAGATCGGCGACAATGACGGTGTAGGTTGCGGTTGTGAAGTACTGGTTTTTGTCAGATAATATAGGACTGTGATGATGTAAAGGTGAGACTGACCTTGTGGGAAAGATTGTTGAAGATGAAGAGAGGGGCAAGGCCCAATAGATGTAGGCCGACGACAAAGCTGAGTGGAAGCGCCAGCTGTCGTTCGATGATGCTGTTGGCGTCACCGTTTTGTTCCACATTTGTCGCCTTCGGTTTGCCCTTGTCCTGGGAGCTTGCTGCTTGTTCTTTTTTCTCATCCTGGGAAGCATCTGTCTTGACTGAAGGCTTAGGCTTAGAGCCCATGTAGTAGCCAGTCCGTAACCACAGGGCAATGGCCATGATTGTGAAGTTGCCAGCGATCAGCATCGCGCTGGGTAGATACGTGCCGATACTGACAAACCGGTTGGTCTGCATAAGCAGATAAAAGAAGAAACTCTGATGCAAATGTTCCAGGAGGTTATTCAAGCTGCGACACAGACTTTCCACAGTTCGGCCCAGGGCCATTTCATCCTGCCAGCCATCTCCTTTCGTTTGCAGTGTGATAGCATCAATATGGTACGGCATGAAGCTACTGTGCGCTCCAGTGGCGTACCCGAAACCCTGCTTAGCCATGCCCCTCAGAATAGTTTGTAAACGCGCTTCGTAGCTATCATCGTGGTCCCACATCTCCTGCAAATTGGCACCGATGCCCATTTGACCACCAGCAATTGACACGGCAGTATTGATCAAATCCAGGTTCGGCAATTGGCCATTAACACCGTCGTAGACAATATGTAACGATTCAAACCGATGATCAAAGGGGTATTCCACCACAAGACCTCCCTGCAATGCACCACTCTTCAACGGCAGCGGCTGAACAGATGGCGGTTGCATGTCATGGTATGCATCGATCCACGCTTGCGTCCCAGATTTGCTGTCAGGCGTGATCAGGAATATGATGTCTTTCGACCACAGAGACCATCCTGGAAACAATCAGCTATGGCCCTTATAAGGCAAAAACAAAAGCAACCCACGTTTAAAGTATCTTGCCAGTGTCAGTGCGAGGGTAACGCCATTCAGGTTCAGTTCTCCATCGGCTGTCTTCCAAGCCGTAACCAGTACGATCGCCTCCGTCGCATCGCCCCGCGGCGCCTGAATGATGGCATAGACGTTCTGTCCCTGATGCGTGATCCCCGCGGAAGTGTATTCATATTTCTGCGTCGCGACTTTCAAGCCGGAAGCTCTGAGAACCGACTGTATCTTATCCGAGATCCTAGTAGAGAGCTCAATTTAGCACAAAGAGTAAGTGGACGTCATAAGCAGGACTGTAAACATACTCCGGCGTCAATTCAATATCATTCCTTTCCGGACCCTCCCCTGGAGCTCCATTGGGTAGAAGCCCCTCTAGCTCCTTTCGGTATCCGCGAAAGATGTTCTGATCACTACCAGAAAAGTAGGCATGGACCTGGCCGGGAAGAAGCGCGTTCTCGGAGATGTACGTTCGACGGGAGTAGTCGTTGAGGGGGAGGAGGAGAAGCCAGACGACTCCAGCGAGGACGCATAGAAACGAGAGGACGTGCGGTAAATGCACGAAAAGGAAATGGGGATTACTCCGCAATTTGCGGATTGCAGCTGTCATTGGTCTTCAATTAGCTTGGTTTACTCTAAGCTGTCCTTTGCAATGGTAGAATCCGGGGTAAGCCAAATAGAGGAGGGAGGAGGATGTTGGTGGAAGTGGGGGCTAGCTGATGCAGCTTAACTGGCACGCTGCAAGCATGCAGCGACTTACATTTTAACGCCATCGAATCAAGACATTCGGGGAGTTGGTCGCATTACTAGTAGCAGTAGTATCCGCGGAGTTTCAAAGGCACTGGGAGTCCACTCCGCAGCACCTTAATTTATTTACGTCGGCCGCTAAAGACCATCTGCACAACTCTCTCAAAGTCCATGTCGAAAAACAACGCTAATGCATTTTATGAGCCAAAAAAAATTCCCCCCCACAAGACTACTATAACAGATGATTATTATAATACTTAAATATGCACAAGAATTGTAATATAGGAGTCCGACACGGTGTTAACAGTCAACGGTCTCAAGGGCCAAGACGCTGCGACGATCCCAAGTAGCTCATAGGAGTCCCTCTCTCGCCCATTGTATTGGTTGTGGGGAGTACACCATATCGGCCATACGTCTTTTGGTCGACAGAGACATAGTGTGGTAACCGACCCAACAGGTTCAGTTTTCCTTCGATCCATCTCAGGATCTTCTCGGGAGGGACGAACACCTTGAGGTACCCAAGGCCGACTAATGTAGAAGGATTAGTATAATAACTATCGTAAGACCAGGAAGGCAATACTCACACAAATAGCCGATGAGAATAGCGCACAAATGGCCAAGGAAGCTCGTGTTAGACATAAGGATCGAAACAACTATGCACGCAAACAAGGGTGATGTCCAGGTAGGGATCTTGTAATTCCCAAGACTAGGCTTATATTAGCGAATCGTGACACGTATTGGCTTTCGCATCTGGGGATATACCTAAAGTACGGGTGAGACTTGAAGGTCTTGATAGCTTCGGTGCCAAATAGGAGGAATACCCAAACGCTTGAAGCTCTATTAGCCCTGTCTACTCGTAAGATCGAAGGATATAACACCCACCTTGCGCCAACTACGGCGGTGTTTCTATGCAAAAGGAATTTCTCGATCAGGAGGTAGAGGCCGGCAGGGAATGTAGAAAGCGCTACATCGACAGTCAACGTTAGCACACCTGGTCCCAATGTCCAGCAGTCAGAATATGACCTACGCCCCAAGAACAGAGCCACAGCAGTCAACGTGCCATGCTCGGCTTCAAAGCGCTCGACCAATGGCGTAAGCGCCACCAAGTTCAAAAAAGCATGGAAGAAGCCATTGTGAATGAATGGATAGGTATTGAGCCGATACACTATGATAGCGTCAGAACCACACATGGGCTTAACCCTCTCTTTCAGGAGTAAGGCACACAAGGGTACATACTGCTGCCGAAACCAATCTCATCCGGCGCCAACGAACCCCATTGTACCACACTCCATACTGTTTGTAACTCAAGAAGCCAAAAGACGATAATTGCCAGCACCACAAGTCGTGTAAAAAGAGGCAAACGAAGAAGATACGACCGTACCCTCGCAGGGTTAAAAGGGAGAGGTGGTAACGCGGCGGGTGTAGCCATATTGATTTCACAACAGAGGTTCAACCCAATGAATGTAGTGTTTCGCAGGTAGCGTAGTTGGCTGCGTCGGGAATGCGCGCAAAACTTAGGTAACAAGTGTCAGAGGCAATCCACCAAAGTTCAAGGTCGGAGTAGGCCGGATTCGCTGATCGAACGCTGCGGTCGAGGACAGTGGGAAGCCCTGAATGTAAAAGTGTAATGGTAATTCGTAGATCTTGTCAAATGCAGGAGTACAGAGTAATCAGGTATCGTGGGTAATTTGTAACGATGTCACCACAGGGGCAACAACACAGATAGCAGGCGCTAGAATACACACGACAGAGAGATTGAAGACTTGACAAGCCCCAGTCGAAAAAAAAACAGATGCGAGCGAGGAAACAAGGTCTAATCGGCAGGAAAGCTAGAAACTTCAATGACAAGGACAAAGAGCGAGCAACGAAACCGCGCAGCTTCTTGCGCTCCCTTCTCTCGACAATCTCACTTATTCCACCTGTTCTTCCGGCGGCTCTTTTGTCGGCGCGGATCCCCCAGGATCACGTGCTTGGGCAAGGCTGATCAGCATGGTGCCTAAGGCGTATATTTACATAGAATTAATTGTAGATCTTGACTCTTTCTATTCTGCAGAAGCCGCAAGTATTTGGCCTGCTCTACACATATCTCACATAGCCTTCCTGGAAGCCAAGTTTATGGAGTGAACAACAACCTTATCGATCCGCTACTAATAATAGAACCATCGACCATAGCTATAAATTTAGTGAAGAACCAAAAAAGCATTGGATCCCCTTGGCTTGTCAAATGTAGCACTGGTAGTCTTTCTTGCCTCGAAAGTGCATGTGGATTATTTAATTAGTGAAGTTTACAAGATGTTCATGACAGAGCTAGGTATTTCGAGACATGCGTATATTCAAAGTATACCATTCTTCAAATCAATTCGTTAGCATGAAGTCGATATATACAAAAAGCTAGTTATTAACAATCTATGCTTTTAGTTCACAGGTACTGTCTAAACCAGTTGACAGCCTGACAGAAAGCTTGCTCCTTAGCGAACTTGAAGTGCTTGTTGCTCAGGTCCGCGCGGACAGCGAAACCGTGGGAAACACCGCTGAACAGGTTGATTTGCCAGTGCTGGCCAGTCTTTTTCAGAGTCTCCTCAGACTCGTGGCGGAGTTGGGTAGTGAAGATCTGATCGATTTCTATTATTGAGGAGTAAGTTAGTACTGGAGAGCTATGTGTATCAACAGCCCTAGACGGATTTAACTTACCGGAAGCGGCGATGGACAGAGGACCGGTGATAGCACCGAGTTCCTCGTGGGTGACGAAGGAAGGGTGGGCGTTGAAACCAACGTCGATCTTGCCCTCCTTCATGTGGCGGCAGACATACTTGGCACCGAAGCAGTATCCAACACCGGCAACACGCTTAGCGCCCAATTCCTCGCGGACGTACTTGACGGTTGACTCGACGACGGGGTCGACATGGCTAGGTTGGTGGTTGGGGAGCCAGGCAGGGAGGTCAGCCTTTCCAGATTCCATGTCACTGACCTTGATGGCGTCTCCCTGGAAAAGGTCGGGGATAACACAAGTGTATCCATTGGCGGCGAACTCGTCAGCGAGGAGCTGGGCGTTGACATAGATACCGAAGATATCGCTCAGGAAGATGACAACCTTCTCGGTGCTCTTGTTCTGCGGGTAGACAATGTAGGTGTCGACTGTGAAAAGTTGATTAGATCCTGCGCATCCGTGAATTTAGGAGGTATGGCTGCAGGATAACTTACCGCCGTTGACGTTCTTGATCTCACCAACTGGGTTGCCTTCATGCTTGAAGCCAGTGGCGCAGCAAGGTCCAGGGGGGTTAGAAGCCATTTTGGAATTTCTGAAGTCGGTGAATCAGATGATGGTTAACCAAAAGCTTTTGGGGAATTCCTTACTATGCAGGCGAAATGTATAAAAGTTGCGAAATTACGGGGTGAAGAAGCTCCGAGGGAACACCGCAGCCCCTCTTTAAATAATACTCATTTTCCAGTTCCCCTCCACTCCCCCACTTTCCCATCAGCATTATTAATACTACGGTATGTACATAAGTTGCATTCTCCCAGTCGTTACTCCAACTTCAGCATGCTAGATGTCAACTGGAGGCCGAAAAGTAGTCCACACCGTGTTATTGAGCTATGATTTAAAATTTCACCGAGACCCGCAGTATATTGAAAGCACGAAGCATGTACCTGTCCAGTACGTACAACCCTGCCAAGCGCTGTCACTACTAGTAACCGCCACCATAATGGAAATCTGCCGACCGCCCGGCAAGTAGAGCGGGAACCAACGCCGAGTGTCGTCTGGGCTAAGCTTTTCTTGCTCGGCGTTTACTTCTAACTCCGACCCAAGGCGGCCACTCAGATTGTCCTGCTGCTGTATGAGATGGGATGCAGCGGTCCTTCTAGACCTACTCCACTACTAGTATTAAGAAGCTACAAGTATGTATTATGGTTCATAGAGCCGGGTATCAACCCACGTGCAGATATAAGTAACTCGTAATTCTCAGGCCATTAAGACCATTATAAACAATGCAATGTATATTAGAATCCAACCAGTCATTAGTCTCCACCACATTAACAATCAGGGATATCATTCATTAACATAAGGGCACGTCAAAAATCATAGAACAAAGCTCTGGTGTCAGTGGTATATGCCCGTCACTCGTAAACTTGAGCTCTGACACCAGGCCAAAAACAAATAGTTTAGGGGGTATATCGCTGCAATAATCAAGACAAGGCTGTTCGATGTCTCTTTTGCCTTTTCCCTTTTTTTTTTTTTTCTTTTCTTTTCTTTTCTTGTTCTCATTTCTCTTTTTTCTCAATGCCTTGGTTTTCCATAGGGCGACGAGCAAACCATCTAGGTAGAGAGTCTTATCCGGCATGTCCCGTGTGAAGGGCACGCACCTCCACCCATAAAGCGACACGGCGAGGCGTGCCCTTCAACCCAGGAAATTTTTCTACTCAGGCCGGAAATTGGAAAGGAGGAAGCTGAGGACGAGTTTCCTTCTTGGCCGCCCAGGCCTTGATGGCAATAGCCATGATCTCGCAAGCCATGATGAAGGCGGTCACTCCCATACCAACGGTGAAGATAAACATCGCATCGAGCTCGTAGAACTCGATGGCATCGACCACATTCCGGGTCTAAGAACAGTTAGCATGACTCAATACTTTCATCAGTCAGGTAACACCTACACTCAACATGAAAATCAAGCCACCGGAGATCAAACAGAAAGCGGCAACAATCTCAGTGGGGGGACGGGAAGGTAGATAAGAGGTTGGTGGTTTGAGATACATGATGACATAGGTCATACATCTAGCGAACGAGAAGCCAACCAACATGTTACCCCACTGCTTGTGTACCATAGTGGAAACCATGCTGGATTGGTGGTGGGATCCCATCATGCTACCCAAAAGAAGAATCACAAGGGCAGGCATTGGGTTGAGAGAAACGCCTTGAGTGTCGGGAATCTGCCAAGCCGTATCGGATGGGCCATGCCTGCGAAGGTTCGAGGGGTATTGCAGGACAGTGCTGTTCAACCAGCTCTTGACGCGCTTAGATTCAAAAAGCATACCACACAAACCGCCACCAAAGAACATGATAGAGATGGACACATGCTCGAGATCTGTCGCAGACCATTTGCCTCCCCAACTGGTGAGGTGCTCGAGGAACATGTTGCTGGCTCCGTAGAGGAAGATCACAAAAGACTCGGTAAATTCACCGGTAGGGATCTTGGCCTTCCACTTGCCAACAATGTCGCGCGAGGGCTTGACATTCCAAGCCCATCCGAGATCTGCCCAGCAGCCCATGAATCGTCCCAGGGTCAACAAACCATACCAAAAGAAGATGCCTCCCTTGATGAAATGTGCGAGACCGTTGAAGATTTCTCTTCCCCTCTGTAGTGTCAGTTATTTATTAGCAATGCCCACATAGCAACTGATGCGCACAACTCCTTACCATGATACCACCATAAGTTACGGCACCGGTAGCGATAGCGATGAAACCGAAAGGCAAGATGATTCTGTCAATCACCAAATAGATAGTGGTGAGTATCCGAAGGGCGCGACTAGAGACCATACGGGGCACACGGCTCGCGAGAAAGCGGTTCACAAAGGTGCTGCGCAGCCAACCACGGCTCTGAGCGGGTTGTTCCGGGAATTGGGCCTCGGGCTTGTCAAATGTATCATATTCCTCCGAGGGGGATGCGCAAGTTGACGAACTAGGGCGACTGTGGAGGGAAGCGGAATTGACCTCTGTCTCCTGGCCGCTCTCTCTAGACCAACGATACTCATGGTGAATTCCGGTCGGATGCGTCGGGGTTTCGGCCATCTCGTCCGTAGAAACAGGAAGAAATGCAGCACGCTCGTACGAAGTCGCATCGGACTCGCCTCTGCCAGCATAGGCAAAAATGAGCGACATGATGACCTGCGCGCTAATGACCCATGTCGCGATCCACCCGATCTTGTGATGAGCATTGTTCTCGTATAGATCAGGGGTTTGACTGTTGTAAATGATTCCCAGAAGCAAGCCCAACGCGTTGAAAACCAGGAAAAGTAATTGCGACGGAAGTGCAAATCGAGAACGTGCAATGCTAAACATAACAGCTACGGACCTGTCAGTCGTGGCTGAAAATAAATGGAAAATAGAAAACAGGACTCGAATTCTTACCAACGGGGAGGATGAAGCACCAGGCAAGAACCATCAGGCCTATGTGAGCGATGATTGTGCTCGAATGCTTTCCATAAGCAAAATAGCTCATGGGCGAGTCGTCGCTCGTATCGGCATGCGATTCGGGCTGCGCCTGGGTGCTGTTCATGTCCATACCCATGTCCATATTCATTGCGTGGTCATCTCCATGCGGGATAGCACTGGCAAGGGAAACAAATAGAGAAGCAGCCGCGATCGCGGCTTGAGAAGTTTTCTGCCACATGGTTGCGAAATCTGTAGTATTAGATTATAAAGCGAACACCAAGGCGAGGACAGCTGAATGCGAATCTTGTCGCAAAGCGGATGGCCCGGAAACCCCCGATCTCGATCCCTAGAGCTCCGGAAATTTTGGTTTTATAGGTAAAGAGCTGTGTAGACACTGGGCGCGACCAGCAATAGATACTTTGTATGATTCGATTTAATGGCGGGTGGTGCGCCAGCTCGTGAAGGCGCAAGCACACACTAGAGGGGAATATAGGGCTGAACTATGGAGGACTGGGAGAGGTGGAACAGAAGGGAGAATGCAGCAGGATTATATGGAATCCAACCAGACCACCGTGAGCCATAGAAGCGGGTACCACAGGACCGTGTCAATCTTTTTAATTCTTATTCATGATCTAGTATTGCCTGTCTCTCTGGAGCTTTCGCGGTTCTTTCGGAGCGGGCGGGGATAAGGTGCAGCGAGGCCGACAGGGCCGTGGAAACAAGAAAAGTCTCTGATTGATTGAAGCTCCCCAAAGCTCCGTGTGCCGAAAGTGGAGTTTTTGGGAACACGCTTCACGCTAGGCGCCGAGCTAACAAGGACATGGATGTCCGATGTTCTCATTTTTTGTGGTGTCAAGTTTGTAATAATAATCTTCCCGGTGTTTGGTGATACTATTATGATTTTGCTGATACACTCCATTCCGGTTTGATTTTGCTGCCTAGATGAAGCGGTACATACCGTCATCTCTAGGATCTGAATCTATCGTCATCATGACTTGCCTCCCAGTGGTTTGGAACCGTTGGTGTCATAGTAGACAAAGTAGGTTAGGTTGATAGCAATTAAAGTCTGGACCTCTAAAAAAAAAATAAATAAATAAAAAAAGGAAAGAAAATGGAAATACGGATGTAAATTACAGAACTATACAACCTAGAAGATCATCAAGGTTTGGTTTTTGTATTTTGTAGGCCCTTCACGGAAATCAGATGCGCTGATGGACAATTTCCCATACGTATTTTGTTGGAAGCGGCCAAGGATTAAGGATGTACGGAGTAATAGCAGACGCGACGTACTCCGTAATGATTGGGAGGGAAAAAAAAAAAAAGGAAAGAAAAGGAAAAAGAGGCGCTTGGCATGGCTCTCTCGGATGCTCGGAGCTACCGGCTTCCTCCCACTGTGCCGTAAAAAGAAAAGGAAAAAAAATGACCTCATCCCAAGGTACCGGCTGGTTAGCGCCTAGCCTAGAGCCCGTAGCCTATGGGTTAGGCACTACTACTCGGGTGTCTATCTAGACAACCATGCGAAACATAGTCTTACACAATATTATAATTTATAAGAAATAAACTGTCAACAAAGAACAAGAAACCAACAAATGGACTCGATAACATATGTGCAACTAAGCTAAAAAGCAGTGAAATACCTGTATAATTACCGAGTCAGAATGTCGTTATTGTTCAACAGCAATAACATAAACAATCCTAGCGTTGGACCAGTCGCCTGACAATGATTGTTGTGACCTTGTCTCCCGGGATTTTCTTTGTTTTCAACTTAATTTTTTTTTCTTACTTTTTACTTACATCTCTCATGTCAGGCAGCTGGTATGTCGTATAAACAAGCTGATCCCGAAAGGACAAGGCTGAGAACATACCACAAGCGACCTGGCGTAACGCTGTTCGTTAATCTTTGTGGCCCCCAATGATGTGCGGTGAGGCAGTGAAAACAATACAGTAAACGATCCTATCTAAAATATCATCAGTCACCGCCGTTGCCTTCTAATGATCAAATAACATGCAAGCTAACATAAGCGCGACAATGCACCTTTCTTGCATACAGGGCTTTGTGGGGGTGCCCTAAAGATGGGGAAAGACATGCTATTAGGGAAAGACATATCACTACCCCGAAGTAAGTATAATTTACACCTACCCGCGTATTTCTTTTCTCTCAAACAACAGCACAGATGACCATGCGTTTCCCAAATTTATGCAATCTCATATTTTTACCAAGCTTAATGGTTGAACTCTCTTTGTACACGACGATCAGACCGACAACCAGTCAGATCGCTAGACTAGGTACTCAAAGCAAAACAAGGGCCGAGACTTGTATACCCCTCTTCTGCATGAAGATCAATCAACATACCATTATCACAACGTGCCCCTCGCGTACTCCTACATAATAGAAGGTGTCACTTCTCACAACCGGCAACTTAGCCGGAGCATACTTGTTATCGGTCCAGCTGAGAGGCACTTCACAATGCTTCCGTATCGGAGGATTATACTTAGTTTCGGTAGAGCCTTATGGGCTGATCTCACAGCCAACTATCCATGGTGGTGTAGTATGACGCTCTAATGCAGGCAGTCTCATTAACCCACCGCTGTTCTCATTTTCTATAACAGGCACCGTACAGAAACTCCAAGGAGGATAGGCTTTTTAAGTTGGTTGTCAGTGAGGGGCTGAGGGCTCTAGGTAATGACGGGACGTTGTTCCTGTTAGGTATAATTGAAGAATCCTATAATCCTCGCTGCCTATGTAGCAGATCGTATTTCTATCTCGCGCAAGGTAGCCAAGGACACCACAGATGTGACGGCCAACAAATGAGATGGTGAGGGCTGGAGTACACAACCACAAGGCGGTACGGAGGACGGAAGTACTAGTAAGCATTCCGTACAAAGGATTACAATCAAGCGTCGATCTTTCACCAGTGCAGGTGCGGTCATCAATACATTCATTCTTCGGATGGGAATGGTGATCCACCAAGTCACTAAGTGGGTCTCGCACGTTGACATGGACGGGCTCATTAATCATTTCCTGCCCTGTGACCGTGTATTCTCATCTGACAACCCAACCGACGATCCTGTCTTGGCTGGCTGGCTGGTTTTTGGTTGGAACGGATCAAGTACTCACCTGCATCCGCGGTCTTCCGTATGAACCCCGAACAGCGAAAAAA